TTATCACAAACAAAATCAGAAGTGGCGAGTTCAATGCTGGGACCCCAGCATCAAGAAGCTCATATTCGGGGGCTATTTCGCGGTGATGGAGGAGGCCGAGGCCAAGGCCCGGGAGCTGGCCTTGAAAGTTCGGGGTGCAGGCAGAAAGCTCGGGCGCCCTGCAAAAGAGGTTTAGGTGGAGAAGGCCGAGAAGAAGGGCGTGGCGCCGGTCCCGTGGCGGAGAAACAAGGCAAGCTGTGCGCTGGCAAGGGTGTACAAACTAGGGGCCTAGATCCGAGTGTGAACACCGAAGCCCGTAAACCCCAAAACTCTACATGCTGAAGCCCTTAAGCCTTAGAGCCCCAAAGCCCGAAACCGTAGAAGGCATAACTGGCCCTAGCGTATCTAGAATACCCCTTTAAAGAAAACCTCATGAGAACCCGATGAACCCAGTGATGACCTACCTATAGTCTCCATTGTAGTTCCTGTTTTGGTTTATCCAATTTAATAATTAGGATCCGATAAGGTAACCCCAAAAAGGAACTACAATGGAGACTATAGGTATACCTTAGGTTTGGATTGATGCGAACATTCGCGGTGGCGGCGAGTACGGACCCAGGTCGACCCTGTGCTTGGGTTTAGGGATTAAGGTTTTGGGGTTGTGGGGTTTTGGGTTTAAGGTTTTGGGGTGCCCGGCAACTGAGGGCCAGGCAAATCTGCAATAGGCCTGGATGCAAAAGGGTGTGGCTTATTTTCTTTAGGGCTTCGGTCTTGGGGGGCTGTCTTAGCAAGCTTCCGCCAGGCTTTGCATTGTTCAGCCTCTGAAATCCGGAAGCCCTAGCGGGTCGGCTTGTGGAGGCATTGCAGGGCAGTAAGCATGGAGGCTGTTGGTGTTCTGTGGTGGAAACACATGCGTCAGAGAGCAACGTTAACCTAGACGAACTAGCAATTGCCAATCGCATGGCCCTCACTCTGAATGTATTTTAACATACGCCAACACCCCATTCTAATCACCGAGGCCCTTGCATGACTGAAGTTCTGAAGACGGCCAGGGATCTCCCTGCACCGATCTGCAGGTTTACATAGAGACCCCATCTGCCGAAGCTAAGCTCAAATCAGAGCCAAAATTCGGTTTTACCTTAACTTACCAGTGCAGAACCTACTTTTTTGTAGGGTCCCTATAAATCCCACATTGGGGTTTATCATTAGAACCTACAAAAACGTGGGTTTTAGTAGGTGAAGGTAGGGTTTAGGGTTTAGGGGTAGTTCTCTGATCGGCAAAATTAGGGTCCCGTTTAGGGTCCTTTTCATAAGAGTGCAGTACTATATTGGGTCCCCAAGATGGGATCCTAATTTAGAGAACTACCCTTCTGCATTCTGGAGTCAGGTGGCACCAAGCCGCCAAGAAGGCGAATCGTAACAAAGCCTACGAAGACTTCGAGGCGCCGGTTGAGGGGGGTGCCCTGGACTTTGCCAGCATCCTGTGATGCAAGCTTGATCAGGGAGCCACTGGATAATTGAGATGAAGGCACCCCTGTACCATTATAATTTTTTGACTAACTAGTTGTCATTCCGAGATTATTTTTTGAATGTGCCCAGTTTGTGCTGGGCTGTCGTCACACAGACGCTGAGCTCACGAACTAGCATGGGTGCTGCCCAGATGCATAGCAAGAACAACCTGCAAGTTCGGAACAGAGAAGAGTTTGCTTAATCGAATGACATTCAGCTTTTCTTCTACCCCAGGCTTGGTATCCTGCAATACAGGGCCCATCAAACAGCCCCAAAAAACCTGCATTTCCGGAGTTGAATCAAGGTACCATAGTAAAGAGCGTTGGCTTTTGATAGCAGAGCCAGGCCGTTGCAGAAGACCTGCTCCGGCGCGGTGTCACGACCCGGGCACTTTTGGGCATCCAAGGTGGCGGCCATGCTCTTCCTGACATGTCAAAGTAAAGTTCCTAACCCTGAAACCTAAACCAGTCGAAGGCCAGGAACCTGTGTTTCAGTCTGGGCCTTTTGTTTAGTGGTAGGCCTTATCAAAGTGGGTCTGGTAACTGGAATGTACGTACATTCTGCATCATGTATTGATCCTACACCCTACATTCTCAAGCCTAGCCTTGAAGCCAAGCCACGAAGCCACGATGCTCCCCGGCAGGCGGCTCCAATGGTGGGCTGCTCATGGGAAATATGCTCACCCGGGAGAAGAGGGCGCCCCGGTTTTGGCGAATAGATTCGGTTTGCATTGCCTCCTTTCGGTGTTCGTCATGCCGTATTTAGGCAGTTCTTGTTCCAGCAATGTGCTGAAAATTCTGAATCCGCAAGTTTTCTCGCACTTGAAATACTTGCCAGTCTTGGTAAAGCAAATTTACATGTCCAATGACAGGTCATGACCATAGTCTTGCAAGGCAGGTCTCGAAGAGTTGGGACCGAATCCCACGCGAAGAACTGTTATCGCTGTATTTCTTGTTGTTGTTGCTGCATGTATTGCAACATAGTGCTCAGAGTTCAGAGGAAGTGATAGAAGCATCGCCTGCACTCAGACTCGGCTATTCTGTAAGCCCAGGTTTGCAGTATTGTGCAGACAGTCTAAAGCACAGGGAAGTTGCCTGTGTTGGAGCAGCATTCCGCCCTACCCACGAGCTGATGCAAGTGCTGTTTTGATGCCAGCTCGCACACCACTGGCCGGGTGTGGGGCACGTTGCGGCGGGTTTGGGAGCGTCTGGAATCATACGCCCTCGCTGCGTGCGAGGAGAATTCATGCGTCCGCGTCTGTTTGGACCGGATGGCTTCCTAATAGATCCAGGCACTCCACCCAGGGTCCCTTGAGGCCAACGTGCCCGGCACGGTGGCATATGACAGTGGGGCAAGGGGCTGATGCGCTCACTGGGGGACTCTTACAGCACATGTCGGGTTCGGGGCGTGCCCTCGCCGTTCTTCTGTGCTGACCCGCACCGTTTGCAGGGGAGGCCCATCGGGAGTGACAGAGACATGGGATTCGTCGGGGTCCTACAATTAAGGATCCAAGTAGGATGCTTGTTCAGGTCATTGGGATCCTCCCTTCTTGTGAGCCTTTGCACGGATGCCTTGCCATCCTCAATCCTAGTTTCTTTCCTCCTAAACCCTAAACCCCAACAGATCCGGAAGGGCTGTCTTAGGGTTTAGGGCTGAGGCTTCCCTCTAAACTCCAGAACCCGAATCGTAAGCAGTTCCCCAGATGGCCTCGCATAGTATGCGTGATTTCTACTGTAGGGTTTGGGGCTTTACCTATAACTGTATCAAATATACGCCAAGACATCCGAAGTCGCCACGATGTCAGGGTCCAAGGGATATTGAAGTCCTTGGTGTTCGACGCCTCCTCCATGCCTGATTTGCCCATCTACCCAGAGAGCTTGCCAAACCTTCGCGAAATCCGCAATCCGCAAGGCTTGAACCTGCGTACAGTCTCCGTTGTAATTCCTTTTTGGGCCTGCATTATAGGATCCTAACTGTACATTGGTTAAGCCAATAAAAGGGAACTGCAATGTAGACTGCAGGTATATGACGGTACATGGTTAAACCGTCCGGAAGAACTTTATCATGTTGCAGGTGATCCTTGTTTAGTGGAATCACACCGCGACGTGGAAGAGTAGACCTGTTGAAGCAATACCCGCAGTCTGGCATTGTGGATTGGCTTGGGGCTTTCGGCACCCCTGCAGAGAATCACGTGCTTGAGATGTCAGCATCGCCGACGTTAGGCTTGTCCTCAACCCATCCTGCTTTGCCAGCAGGTTGCCAAAGGTCATCCCTGAGCTTGGGGTTGAAGTCTCTGTAGTTGCCAAGGTCACCAAAGCCGCCATACACGTGCTCGGAGAATTCCAAAACGGAGCAGATTCTAAACCCTAAACCCAACTTTGCCATCGCCAGGAGCTCTTCGGCGCGATCGTGTGCCAGGTGCCGTTGCTTGACATGCAGACTCCCGGCCGCACTTCTGGGCATGTGCTTAGTCTACGGTGGATATTTCGATAGATACACAGATACCTAGCTAGATAGATAGATAGATGCACAAATCGAACCGGTTCAGCCAGGCTGCAGGAAGACAAGCAGGAATTCTAAGTATGAGGTGCTTGCAAACCACCCGAGTGTGCACAACTGGTGGTTAGGTAGTGCCAGAATTCCTAAACCAGCTCGACACCTCCCACGAGCTTTCATAAACACCGGGCAATGATGGGGAAGGAGTTCTCATGTCGCAGTCTGGTCCTTACTGTGCCATGTGTGTTCAGTGTATTTGGGAGTTTCCGGAAACAAGGGGTACCTTATTTTGGGGGTCCTTATACTGAGGATCCTATTATTTAAGGTACTATGCTCCTAGCTTGTTACAGCTCCTTGAACCTTCAACCCTTTCCAGCAGTTCGGGTTCAAGCCCAGGAGATACAGCCAGCTTCTAGCTGGAGCTAGTTGGATGGGAGAGTACGGCTACTTGGAGACTTAGAGCAGGCATGAACGTGTCCCCCCCTTGACTACTTGCCCATTTGCTTTGCATGGAAGGCCACGAGGTATTGCAGCTTTCGATTTTGGGGGGGTTATGGCTAAGTTTCGCGTCGTGTTGGGAGGTGCTGATCATGAGCGCGCGAACGTTTCTCCCATAACCCCCAGATTGAAGCCGCTCTTTGCGTGTTTCCGCGTGAAGACTTCTTCTAAATTGGCATGATGTTCCGCAGAAGTAATACCGCTACCGGGTTACCCCAAACCCCACCCCGAACCCTCAAGCGTTTGCGAGGTGACCCTGCAACCAGCGACTGGGAGGAATTCCTGAAGCAGTACTCACCGTATCACAACCTGTCTGATGACAAGACCTACCCACCGGCGCTCTTCGTCACATCTACGAAGGACACATCAGTCAAGATGCGGACTTGCGTCCCATACGTGCGTGATTACCCTGAATTTCTTACCTGTAGGAAGTGCACAGGCCTGAGCAAGCCGCCCTCGCACATCCGGCTTAAAGCTTATAGGGGCAGAGTTGATTTGGGGGTATTTACACGCTGCGTTTGAGAATGACTGGGGAGGTATTCTCCATGCTGCTAAAATGCAGCGATTCCCGAAAAGGCTTTCTCGCGAACAAGCAGTAGAGACGATTCCTGACCGAGCCTATGGACCCTGGGAGGCCCCAAAAACCCTGCAGAAACACGGAACCCATGTTCTGGAAACGGCTGTGAAATTTTGTATTTGACATGGATACGAAGTCGAACAGTAATGTTCGTACTAGTACTAGTACCCATACTCATACTCCTACGCAGGAAAAGACGTTCAAAGGACAATCGCAGCCCTTGTGTGATTTGAAGCCCCCCGCTCTTGGGCCAGCTCGGCCTAGCTGTAGCTGGTCTTTCCAGAACAACGGAAGTTGAACCAGCATTAGTGTCAGTGTTACTGGGGCTGGGGTGCCCAGGCCCAGGCAGTCCCAGCCCCAGCCCTCCCCAGCCCCAAACTTCAAACTCGTTTCCAACATACAAAACTCGGTCGAAACGGCTCGTTCAAAACGCTCTGCCCTTAACCCTTTCTAGAAGCCCAAAGCCCATAACCCGAAGACCTGAAGCCCAAGAACCCTAAACCCTAATCCCTGTGGCAACAAACACCTCAAGAACCACCAGGATGACCGGGTTCACCCCGGCCATGCTCGGAAGATGGTTGCAAAGCTGTTGGCCCATCCCACGGCCAAGGAGAGCCCGGTTGAGGCTTGATGAGGAATGTACCACAATTCCCATAGTTATTCATCCTGCATTACCCATAATAAGGAATTAGGGTCCTTATAAAGGTAATGCGGGATTTATATCATCAATAGTAGGATTCAGGGTTTAATATAGGGCCAGGGCTCAATTTTTTGGCGGCCGTTTGAGACAAGGGGTGGTGGATTTAAGGTCCGGTTTCACGATGCATCGTCCCAAGGGGGCTTAACCTAAGCACACCGACCAACACGACTTTGGGCTGCTCAAGCACTTGAGACCCTGGGGCTTGTGAAATTGCCGTGGGCTTGGTTAGGGGTTTCGAGCCGGGAGTTGTTGGGGTGGCACCAGAGGGTAATGGTGAAAAAGAAGCCCCGAATCAGCAGGCGTCGTCATTCAGAGCAGTTGTTTGCATCCCCAACACTTATTTATCACGACGTTCGAAGCTTACCCAAGACTTCCCAAAGGACCACACATTCTACTACGAAAACATCGAGGGTGGGCACGGCGGCGCTGCTGACAACAAGCAACGGGCTTTCATGCAAGTGGCACAGCCGCTGTTCTGCAGGAGTGGCTGGCAATTCCAGGATTTAGGCTGCCAGCATACGTGAAACCCTGGATGCTTTTGCCGGTTGCCCTTGCCCAACCGAAATCCTTAATTCGCTTTACAGTGTTTAATCCGTCAGACAGTAAAATCCCGGGTTAGGTGTTGCTAAAGCCCAAAGGACTAAATCCTAAACCCTTAACCCACTTATAGAGGCCTTTAAAAGGAACCCTCCCAAAACCTGGCTAAAGATCGTTGCCATTTACTCGGTCTGAAGCGAACTCGGGGCAGTGAGATCTTATCCCTGAGTGTTTCGTGTTTTCAGGCTTGGGTTTGTAAGATCCCCTAAAGCAGAACACTGTGATGCTAGTTAAATTACTCTACTTTACAGTGGCTCGCTAGGTTGTTCTGATGCGCAGCTCTCGACAGCGAACAGTGGACCCAAAATCTTACCCACACCCAGGGAAATTCAGAGTGTAGGTTTTAGGCAACCTACATGTACCACGCCGGTTAAGCTGCCGGTGAAGGTATCTGCTTGCATGGCAAGTCTGCCTGGCTCGTCTGAGGTATGCCTTTCTATGGAAAACATTGTCACCTGGGCGACAGCCGGAGATGATACCGTGAGTCAAGCTCTGGACCTTGACCTCTAAACTCCGACGAAAAGCCTCGAAATATGCAGAGACGATGTCATGGGACCAGGCAATTGCGACGGCACCAGTAGCCGCCTCTTCAAGCGCGGACCGCCCGGAACTCCTGAAAGGCACAAGCAACAAAGTAAGCTCTCAAGCCCAGAGCCCTTGAATCATACACCCGTGAGAGTCGAAACCTCCACGGAAGTGTCTTAGTTGCATGTTGAACTTAATTGGACAGAGAAACAAGGAAATGCCGATATAGCCTTGAGTTCTTTCGGACGGCGTCTAGGGGTTTACCTACCTGTGAGAGCGCCATCTGCATCACGAGTTCACGAAAAAATCAGGTTGCCGTGCGGGTTCGATTGTGTATGGGATTGGCATCACGAATTTGTACCTCTCTTTGGTGAAAGAGCCACAAGAGCCATCCTGTGCTCATTGCCGTAGCATGTGTGCAACAGAAAGATGTAGTATGTAGCACTAATCTACGTAGTTCCCCGACCAACACAACAGTAGTTTTAGCTTCGGAAGGCAATCACCCTAAACCCCAAACCCTAAACCCTTTCTGGTGTGGGTGCTCCGACAGATGTAGACGGCGTCCCCACTCAACTCGTAATCCGACTCACAGCTGCTGTGCTTGCCCGCGATGTGGTAGCCAGAAATCCCTTAGGAGAAAAAAAGATATGGGGATCTGAATTTTGTCAGTGTTACGGTTTTAGGGATCAAGAAAGTGTTTCATATTCTGCCGAGATCGATACGTTTCGGAAATACGATCGTTTTTATTACAGTAGTTTACGTGTATCCTGTGCATAATGGGTCTGGACCTCGGAATTAAGGTTCTGCAATATTTAAGACTCGTATAGTTTTCGATCTGTTTCTTATTCTCTATCTGCTAGAGCTCGTCTTACTTTTTGGACCCACCCCTTCACGGCAACGTCGTCTCACGCCTTGAAGCGTTTCTCCACGATTTTCGTCCCTATATAAATTCTCGGGAAATTTTGAGGCCAACGAGACCCACATTTTTAAGAAATTGAGGGACGGCCCGTCCCAATTGTTTTAATGAAAATTATGGGAGCAGGTTGCGGGATGATCTCGCTGAAAAGTTTTGGAAAATGTCGTGGACGCGAAATGTCTAGAAAATATTGAAGCAGGAGCTACTGGTTTTTGTCCGCAAAATTCAGGTGATTTTGGGCCACGAACAGAAGTGCAAAGAAACTTTCCTCGCAAAGAAATTTTCGTGGCGAAGTTTTTTCAGTCCATGGTTGTTTCTATGATTTTGGAAGCTTGAACAGTCGGTCCGGTGTGCGTCGTATTGCAGCCATGGTAACAACTGTCGTGTCGTGGGCCTTCGTATCGTCCATCGTTTTGTCGTGCGTCGTGGGGTCGTCCGTCCTCATCAACATCCGTCATCTCTCATTTGTCCTTGTGTCGTCCGTCCATGCGATGTCCGTCGGGGGGTCGTCCGTCGTCGTGTCTTTTGGTCGTATCAGTAGGCCTCTATCTATTTTTATTACTTGTTATTATCGTCCCTCATCACATCGTTATAGCCACCGTGGGGAATGATATTTTCTCGTGTGGCATGGAGCTATATTTTTTGCTATATATATATATATACATATGTGTGTGTGTGTATAAATGGTCGCCCCCCCCCCCCCCCCCCC